ATTTTATAAAGTAAATGCATGACTCGCATGCAAATATAAAATGAACAAGTGTCAAAGATTTAACTCATGAAATACTGCAAGAACCAGTAGTATGTTACATGTGGTTCAAAGGAGAAATCCAAGAAATACAAATATAAATATATTCACGCACAAAAACAAATGCTAGGATGGAGTTACAACTAGATTCAGAATGGTCTATTGATGGGGGAAGCATCAATTGTAATACACTGCACACAACAATTTGCATGTCCAGGGACAAGAATCACCTGCATTATCATCAGCTTTCTACATTTACAGAGTAAGAAAATAGCTCAAAGACGATGAACAAGGCAGATAACCTGCAGGGGTGCAACATCCAGCCATCATTTTGCCCATCTTGAAGCGCTCCACAATTTTTACTGGCTCTAGTAATTGCGTTTTAACACTGAATTTTCCAAAATTAATTGTGATTTGATGTTTTCTTACTGTTGTTTACCATTCCTTCATTCATTCATTCAACAAATCCTCACAAGCTGACCAAAAATGTTCCACACAGGAGGCTAGAAACTGTCCATTTTTTAGTTTGAATACACCAAGATATGTCTTTGTATTGAAAGACAAATGCAACTTTACTGTTTTGTTTTTGGCTGATTTTTGCATATGTGAATGCAATGGCAAACTCTGGCAAATGGGCAGATCCAGCCTGGCACTTGTTTGTGTACAGCCAGCAGGCAAAGAATGGTTCTTACATTTTTTAATGGTTGGGAAAGATAACAAAATTTCATGACATGAACATTACATGAAATTCAAATTCCAGTGTCCAAACATAAAGCTTTAACTGGAACACAGCCACTGTCCTTTGTTTAGGTACTATCTATCACTGATTTCATGCTACGGTGGCCACATTAGTTGCCACAGAGATTTTATGGGCTACAAAGATGGAAATATTTACTATCTGGCATTTTACAGATATTGTATATGATGTGGACTTCCCTGGTGGTGCAGTGGTTAAGAATCCGCCTGCCAATGCAGAGGACATGGGTTTGGGCCCTGGTCCCGGAAGATCCCACATGCCGCGGAGCAACTAAGCCCGTGCGCCACAACTACTGAGCCGGTGCTCTAGAGCCCGCGAGCCACGACTACTGAAGCCTGCGTGCCTAGACCCCGTGCTCCACAACAAGAAAAGCCACCACAATGAGAAGCCCGTGCACTGCAACAAAGAGTAGCCCCCACTCGCTGCAACTAGAGAAAGCCCGTGCGCAGCAACGAAGACCCAACACAGCCAAAGATAAATAAATAAATAAGTTTATTAAAATAAAGAAATTGTATATGATGAGCATTAGAATTCCTAACATATAATGGGCCTCTGAAAAGGTGCTTGGCGCATACCACATGCTCGGTAAATTATATGTTTATTTTCCTTCATGTAATAAAGTGAAACTGCTGAGAGCGGGAGTGTGTTCTTCAATTCCTTTATAACTTTGCAAAATGCACAGACGGGGGTTTTCCAACCTCCCCCTGAGCTTGCAGCTTCTCCACTGTGAGGGCGTCCCGTGCACTGTAGTTGGTCAGCATTCCTGACCTCCACCCACTAGATGCCAGTAGCGACAACCAAAAATGTCTCCCGCCATTGCCAAATGTCCCCTTGGGGGCAGAATCGCTCCAGCTCGAGAACCACTGGCCTCAAACCATGCAGGACAGTAAGTCACTGCTCTCCATCATCTAGGAGCTAAATGATGCCAAAGACCCCTGACTTCATAGTACTGGCTTCATTATAGGAGGAAGATTTTCCTAATTAATAATAAATAATCACGCTGAGTTACATGGATACAGAATGGATTACAACCTTTTTCCTGAAGGTAATACAGTAATGACGTACTTAGGGGGAGGAAGAAAATGTACTGTATGGACTTCATTTATGGATTCATTCACAGATGTTTGGTGAGCAACTACTCTGTGCCAAACACCATTCTAGGCTTGAAAATACCACAATGAACAAAGACAACTCAGTTGATGCCCCTCGGAGCTTACTTTCTGGTGAAGGAGACAGACTCTCAGAGATAAAGGAACAACTATATAATGTCCTGCGGGTATAATACGGCCGAGGAAGTGTGTAAATGGGTGGGAGGTGACCTGGGAGGGCAAGGCTGAGAAGGTGGCATGTGTGCTGAAGCATGAATGGGGTGCGGTGAGCTGGGTGACTGCGGAAGGAGCCTTCTGGTGGAGAGAAAAGCAGGCTTGATGGGGCTAAAGCAGAGAAGAAAGTTGGAGAGAGAGCACAGGCAGACAAGACAGGGCCGATGTTTTAGACTGAGTGAGGTAGGAAGATATTAAAAGGTGTGAGGCAGACAGCAGCAAGATTCAGCTGATATGTTTAAAGGGTCTTTCCAGCAGCCACGTGGGTAGAGTAGAAGCTGGGAGACCCAAGAGGCTGCTCCTGGATGGGTCCAGGCAAGAGATGATGGCAGAATGGACAAGGCAGGCAGTCAGATGGGAAGAACTCACCTTCTGGAGGGATCCTGAAGGTGATGGGCTTTGCAAACACAATGAGAACTAATTAGAAAGTGTGTACTTTCTATAAAATATTATGTAAACTTTATCTTTTAACATATATTCAGAAAGTTATGTCGCCAGCATTACTTCTTGATTTGGTGAGGTGTTTTTACTCTTCTGTCCCAATATTTGCTCAAAACGGTTTTTCAAGTTGTTGGTCTCTATACAACACAGCCTAGGGGGTGGCATGCCAAACTTCAGTTTACCTCTACTGATTTGCTGAGTGATTCCAGGACATTATCCAATACGTATGTGCCTGAATTTCCCCATGTGTAAAATGGAGTCACCACCGCTCACCCTTCACCTCATTAACCTAAAAAGCAAAGGAAAAGCCTACACGATGCTTCATGAATCTCAGAATAAGTGCAAACTGTAATCATCTGCAAAAGTATCCCATGGTGATAATATCCAAAAGAGATAAACTTTGATTAACATGTAAGATTCATCCCCAAGTATTCAGACTAAAGACAACCCTTAAATTTATGTTGGCTTTGTGATACATTTCAAAGTTTGTTCTCTATGACTTACTGATTCATTTCTGCTTTCAGGTAAAAGGAATTGATTTCTTTTCTTGTCAAGTTCAGTCTCTCGGGTCAGCCTTGATCATTCAATTACAAAACATGGTTTAACAATCTGTATTCCCTAGGGCTGCAATGTTCTTTAATTAGGATATTTTAAAAGCAGTTTCAATGAACGTGTCCTATTCAAATTTCAAGTGTGTAAAAAAAAATTAATTTCTTGATGGCATAAGGAGAAAAGAGGTGCTTATGAGAAATAATACTGATACAACAAATTATCATTCAAGTAATACCCAACTAATAAAACTGGACAAAAACACTACTTAGGAAATTTAGTCAGCCTCATAGCCATACATTCACACTCACACCACACACACACACACACACACACACACACACACACACACACACACATATCCTCTCCTGCAGTGACGACATAAACAAATTACCCAAAACACCAACTGAAGAAAAATGAATATAATAGATAACCAGAAAATATCTTATCAGAGCAAATATGTATGATATTATATAAAAAGAGTAAAAGGATCATAAACCAGACATTTCATTTCTGCCCAGGATTTAGAGGGTCAGAACTAAGCAAAGTTTGTTTTCACCAAATTATTTCACATTCACATAATAATTCTGTTCTGCTTTTTTTTTTTTTTTTTTTTTTTTTTTTTTTTTC